ATTGAAATCCACTGCTTACAAAGGAAAATCCACAACTTAAAGAAAAAAGAAGCCAGATTACACAGCAACATCCTTCCTAAGGCTCTGCAAGAAACATAACATCATCCCAAGGTGACTTGAAAAAAGAATGTCTTGCATTCAAAAGCTTGTCTAACTCTATCCCAACTAACAATGCAGTAGGTCCAATAAAAAGCATCACCCCAAGAAAACCTGTTCTTTTAAGATGAAAATACAAATGTTTCTGCTAGGAAAAATCAGTAAAAAGAGATAGAAATTAGAGGACTTAGAAATATAATAGAGGGCTGTACATTTTTGCAAACAATCTAGAATAGCAAACTGACTATGTACTTAGTGACACCTGTTCTTAGCATGAGTCTCCAGTATCTTGAATGATGAGGCCTAAGACGGCAGTTTGGCATGGACTACAGCTTCGTCAAGTCTATATATCATAAAGTCTCAGCTGTTCCTTCATGTCTCCTTCAGACATCTCTCCAAATGTGTCACTTTTTTCCTTCATGAGCCTGAAGATGGCAGCCAGCTGCTCTCTCTGAACCCTGTCAGGAAGAAAGGGACAATAGAAATAGCTATTCTCCAACAGGCACTCCGACCAGAGCAATGGAGTCAACTGTGACATAAGGCTAAGGGGGGGCTCACTTTATAAGCCCGATCATGTTCAGCAAATCCATACATGATCAAATGAGCCAGATTGGGCCCAGAATCCTCAATCCTTCCTTTTTCTTTGCATTGTATTATCTATCTTTTTAAAACCATCAGCTTTATTCCCACCCTCAGTGCCAAATTTGAGGCTTCTTTGGATATACTTGGAGCTATTCCAGAATAACTATTCCAGAATAACAATTCTTAGGAGAATGCTTCATTTCAGTAGATCATAATCCACTGAAAATGGGTTCAGCTAAATGTACTTCTATTCTGCAATCAAAGTATCCACACACGGAGTGATTCAGGAAATGCTCTTGCATTTTTAAATTTATATTCTACCTTAATCCAAATTAACTTGCCAGCCCAGGGGCTTGTTTGTTTCTCAGGGGGGATGTCTATATGTTCATTAATGCACAGTGGTTACTGCACATTTAATTTAGTACTTGTATTATGAAGCAATAAATAAATGCACAGTAACCAGAGTTACTGCACTGTAGCAAATGTCTTTTAACTGATGCTACTGTGCAGTAGCCTAATAATACCGCGCAGTAGAGTATTAGCACTGTTTGTGTTGTGATGCTACTGTGCAGTATTATTCGGCTACTGTGCTGCTAGCATCTCATGTAGATGTTCCCAGTGTTGAGTAACAGGCACCCTTTAATTGTGACATAAGCCATATAGCAAATTCAGTAATGGCCCATTCAAGATAGGCAGGTAGGAAATGCCATAACTGGTCAAACCAATTGGCCATCTGGGTCAGTTTCCCCATCTTTGAAAATGGTCAGTACTAGATGCTTAAAGAAAAGAAACAGTTTTCCAACAGAAGGGAAATTCCTTCCAACCTGAAGTGGTTAGTGGTTGACTCATGTCTACTAGCATGAAGGCTGGTGTCTGTTCTAGGATTTTATTTGAGGAAGCTTAACTGCAGAGACTATTTTGTCCATAAATGTCTTTACATTCTCAACTGTTAACTTGGAAAGGCAAGATGGGAGTTAGTTCCAGGTCAGGAGTTAGTCCTAACCCTAGTATGTGAAATAATATATTCTGTTACATGCATATGCAGAACCTTTGCCTTCCCTTTGAAAGTAATATCTCACTAGTTAGGGCTGGGTACAAGAGGGTTGTATTCTTCCTGCAAGACTCCCACCTACTGAGATCAGATCACATCTAGTTCCTACATCCAGTCCACGGCTCTCCTAAGTAGGATTATAACTAAAGGGATGTACTCGTCTCATAAACAGTAATGAGAGGAGCATGGCTTTCCTATCATCATACAAATGGAAAGCCTCATGCCCCATAAGACTGTGTCCAATGAACCCCAGGATCTTAGAAATGCAGGTCCAGTGACTTCCAAGGAGGCAGAGCAGAACTGAACGCGGGTGGAACAGGCTGTTCAAAGAGGCTGGAAGACTCGGGCCCTGGCCTTCACCCCAACTTTCCAAAGATCCTCCCTTCTTCCCATAGCCAAGCCTCATGATAGAAAGTTACTCTCACTTTACTTGCCAACAAGGGCCTTCCTTACAAGCCAGCCATTTGGTGCCCCTTCCTAGTAGTAAAATCTCCAGGGATTCCTCTCACTAGTTCCAGGTTTGGCAGTAGCTGAAACTGGCAGTGACTGACTTTATGGCAAGCATACGCCTTGACATTTGCATTTTCCTTCAATTCAGGGTGTAGATCATAACTGGTTACATTGAGAAGCAGAGATGAAGTGTCAAAGTGTTCTAAGCTCCGTAGACAGATGGCAGGAACTCACAAGAAACACATATGTTTTTACATTAAAATAATTATTTCAGTGCAAAATACTAGCAGAGACAAGATATAGGCAGCTTTTACTTTGTAGCTTTCAATATCATCTTATCCCTGCCCCCTCCCAGTTCCTCATCTCACACCAACCATGACTGGCTACAGAGTAGAGAGGGGTACCACCCTGGCCTGTCTTCTAGCTACTTGGAGTTTGGGACTACTTGTGTTTTGTCTGTATTAACAGCCCCCCAGTGAAGAGAGCCATAATCATGGGTGAGAGGAGCTGTTAAACTGCTAAGTTCAAATCAACAGGGGTCTGTACTTCCCGTTCCCTTACTGCAAAGCACCCATCAGAAATGTAATAATGAACCATACTTCCCAGAGGAAACAGATGCCTGAGAAAGAAGAGGGAGAAGGCGAGGGGATCAAGGACCAAGGGCAGAATGGCAAAAGGAGGATATTTTGTCAGTTGTTTTATTTTACAATTAATATGCATTTCACTGCATCTTTAGATTAAATGTATAATCTATTAATGACCTGTGATTTTGTTCAATCAAAATAAAATAGTGAAAAGTGTACAGACTGTGAAGCTGGGGACATGCTGAAACAATGGAAACTGAAATCCATCAGGCTCAGAAATCCTGTCATCTCTGACATACTTTTCTAACTTGCATAGAACGCCCAGAGATGACCTTTTCTGCACAGAAAGGAAAGGAAGCAAAGTAGCTACTGATCTTCATATTTTAACTTCAGAACACCACTGGACACATCTCCAACCTATTTCAAAGAAATTCAGTATATGTTCTTTTCCTTATACAAATATATTTGAAATGCACTCCTGCTGAGAATAACAACAACAACAATTCTGCCTCTCTTCCTCATTAGTCCAAGAAAGTTAACAGGATGAAGCAAATTCAGGATAACAAATTCAGGTAACAGCCTTCACTGACAAGCATTTTTCCCCAAAACAATTGCAGACAAATCTCAATCTATTTTTTTTTAATCCAACATGAATTGGTTCTCTCTGTGTGTGTGACAGAAAGGGCTCTGAAATCGAGGTTTCAGTTTTAAGGTAGATAGAGATATACCGTAATTACTCATGTAATAGCCATGCACAGGTGTAGTAGCCACACCCCTGAATAATACCTGAAAAACAAATTATCCATGTAATAGACATGTTCAAATGCATAAAGAAACAGATTCAAATGGTACTTCTCTTAAAAAAGGGACCCAGTTTATTGAAGAAAGGAATGCACTGATGCGGGAAACCCATGCCACAGGGTACTTGAGTTCAACTCTGCATCAGTCTTGTCTGTATGATCATTGTAGATGGGTGGATATTAGAACACAGAATCACAACTTCCATTCAGCACCAATACCTTCCTCAGCTTTGTTCTAGGGTGTGCATAATGGCTGCACCCTAGTTTTTGGCAGCAATATTTCAGAAAAAAGACATAAGTATTATGCAAGTAAATGCAGTTTATAAAGACTTGATGCCCCTGTGAAGTCATTCTCTACAGTCTAGAGTTTATCCAAAGGGAGATGATTGGGGAAGGGAGCATTGGGAAGAGAATAGAAAAGTATCAGTAAAGTGTAATTGGTCCGAAAGACAGAAAACAGCATCTTAGAGCTCCACATTTGTCAGTTCAGTTGTTCCAGATCAAATCTGCTGGCATTTACCAGTAAAACAATACTTTTTACCCACCAGTTACATAGAAACAACTTGGAACTGAAGCAGGGTTTCATTCTTCCCTGATCATTTAGACTAGGTTTGAGATACTCAAAGCAGCCTAAGTCTTTCTGGAAGACAATGGGATGTGTACAGTAAACTCCCTTAGGATCCTTTAAAAATCCCAGCCAAAGGTTTTCAAAAGTAACTAGTGGCTTTGGGTGTCTACTCACAGATACCTTAAATGGGCCTGAGTTTCAGAAAGTGCTGAGCATCCCCTGTTTGAAAGTACAGGGCCTCTGTATGGAGGCATCCCAAATCATGTAATTGTCACCCATGATAATTCTGACCAAATATTCTGGAACTGGAATTTACGATGCAGGCACAAACTCTCTCTCACCCCTCCCAGCTGTATTAGCTCTGCATTGCTCAAACAGGAATAATGCAGAAATTGCTGGGGTGCTGTTTTCAAAGGTATCCATCATTGGCCAAATTCTGTTCCCACCAAAGTCCAGGGGACTACAATATGCTCCTTATGCGAGTAAGTGCATTAAGTTCTGATCCTCTGTCATTAAAGGCTTTATTCTGAATGCATTTAAATTTACTGGGAAAGAAGTTACGCATTCTAGACAGTTAACTTTTCACTGAACTTTGCGTTCTACTTTTCATCATAGCACCACCCTGTAAAAGCAGCAGGATCTCTTTGTTGATGAAAAAAACAGGTCTTGCTCCACATTTGACACAGTACCAAATGCTTATTGGGTATCAGCTCCAAGCAAGTATTTCCAGGAAGGGCAACAAAAGGGCTGACAGAGATGAGCCCCAGATGCCATGCTATCAACCACTGCTAGAGTGTCACCAGAACTACATAAGGGAAGGAGCAAAAAAGCGGGGGTGGGGGGAAAACAAACAAACTACACAACCCCAATCCATATGAACTATTCAAAGGTTTATTGGACCAAACAAAGGCAATTTACAGTTTCAAGCCACCAGAATTACAGTCCTGTGTATAAGAGCCACCTTCAGATACAAAAAAAGTAAAAAATACCCAGAAAGCCATTTTCTTTTTGTTGAAGAAATAGTTTAACTCACTACCCCTAACAAAATCTGGGCTTGGCTATAGACTTTTCTTGCTCGATGTACATATTGCCATATAACTTAAACATATACGTATATAAGGCATTCTTTGCATAGTCACGTGCTTGGAACATCATATGTGCCAGCCAGCATGGAGAGAGAAGGCAGGAATGGTTGCTATGCTGAAGCAGAGTGTCCTTAGGTATCTAGGATTCATACATAATCCATTGAATATGCTAGCAGTTACTGGCTTGGAAAGGGCAATTTGGCTTCCTCTAAAGCTAAAGCTTTCTACAGTCCATTTAATAAGCCCTTTTTACAGACAAATATTCTCCAAAACCTAGGCATCACAAAGCACAACAGAGAAAATAGATTCAAGTATTGTCTGCATAGGAACAACAAAGCAGCCTGGGTTTTGATATGCTCAATGTTTTAGCTAAGAGGCAGCCTCCTCACATAAAGAAGGGACACTCAAGAGGACAGGTTCCAACCTAGCCTGGTAGTTCTGCAGAACAGTAAGTGCTACCAGTAGAGAACTCAAGACCTTATTCCCATGGAAGGACTTCCTGCAAAAGAACCTGATCTTACTTGTAGTTGATCTCTATGAAGCAGGCACTGATGCCCAGCAGTATGGATCATCTATACGTGACAGTTCTGGAGAGGTGCTCAGCCTTGGGTAAAGCAATTAAGTCACTGAGCCAGCAATAGCAACAGAAAGGAATGGAGAAGGGAATGGGACATCTCTTACGGCATCCCTAAAACTCACTGTAACCCAGAGGGAGCCCTCAGTCTCAGGGCCACTTCCTTATGTTTGTTTCTTTAAGGGACCAAAATAAGGAAAAGCAAATCCAAGCATTAACAATTGTTAAGGAGGCATGGACCCCCACAATGGAAGTCCTCACAAGTAGAAGAGCTAAAACATCAATGCTTTTCACTTCTCTGGTCTTCCTGCTACCGAACCTAAAAGATCATCTCTCTGCAAAAATTATTACAGAGCAAAATTAAGCCAGTCCAGCTAGAGCCTGCGACCCTTCCCCTCAACCCGCCTCCCACCCAAGAAAAAGTTTTACACAGTGTTTGAAATCACACGCTATATTGTTCAAAGATAAAGAATGAATTTGGTCCCTGGAGGAAGTGGGTTGAGAGTCTGATATAACATGTGAGCTTAGCTAAGCTAACAGCTGATATTTAAACATTCCCTCTAAAAGGTGAACTATGGGATTCAGACAGGGCAAACACAACATGATTAACGCAGCTAAACAGACTCATTGAATATTTGGTGTCCACTTTCAGTTCTGTTTGGGGGTCCTGGTCCCTCAGGAGGTCCCAACCCCCCAAACACAACTCCAGTCTGGCCCACTCCAGGGACCCAAGTAACAGGTTCTCCCCCAGCTTGATACCACAAGGAATTATTTTGAAGAACCCAACTTCAGCCAAGGAGAAAGTCCCAAGTTTTGAGGGTTTACTGATTTTTCTTGTGTGTGTTTGGTTGGTTTTGGTATCTCTCTCAAGCCTTTAAGATGCCAAGGGAAAAGCCTTTAGGAGGAGGCTAGGGACAACTTCATATAGTCTTCAGTTCTGCAAAGAGAAACAAGGAAAAAAAGAAGAGAAATCATTTCAGTCATTTCACCTGTTGGGTAGGGTTAATTATTCATTTCTTGTGTAACAAGCAAGGGAAGAGAACTCATTGTAGGAGCAGAGGCTAGGAAATGTTCTGGAAACACCAAAAGCCTTTTTCAAACCTTAATGCCTCAGAAGCATGAGGTATTTTGCTTCATCCTTTGCAGCAAGGTAGTCTAAAACCTGAACAGAGTAAATTGAATGCATTTCCTCTCGTCTGGCACCAAATGCCATTCCAGCCTTCCTAATCCACAAACCATGGGCTATGGCAGCTTCAGATAATTTGTAGCTATAGAATTAAGATGGCCCATGGTCCCACCCTGACCTTTCCAGAGGCCAAACAACCTGGAGAATCAGATTACTTGTGTGGCTGAATACTTCTCTGTACATACAATCCCGCTGGAGGAAGTGTGGCTTGTGATGAAGACCTGGCTGCATGTTGATCTCACAAAAAGGGCAGAGGAATCTTTCAACAAATCCTACATCTTGTTCTAGCTTTATCTCCACCTTTTGTATTCAACAGGACATACAATTTGCAGGCACTCCTTGGGTTCCATCTGTAAATACTACTGCTTTGCTTTTTATGGGAAGATCCTCAACACATCCCAGGGAAGCAGAGAATTATAAGACTCACTTTCTATGTGGGTAGATTGATGAACAGAGAGGGTAAATGACTCTCCCTGCGGTCGTTCATTGAATCATTGGCAAAGCCAAGGTTGGAAGACAAATCCTGGACATGCAACACACTGATACCAGGGGAACCTGTTCTTATACTGGTGTGAACAAGAACAGACACACTGTATAGTCTTACACCCGAGTAACTTACTAGAATCTGGTATAGAGTCACCTGGGAAAAACCTACAGTAAAACTATAGCTGTGTGAGTCGCACGTTTCTGCTTCTATCTGGAGGTAGGCATTTTGCAGTGCAAACAGGCTACCACCTAGTGGTAACATGCTGCATCCATACACTGTGGAACACTTGTCAGAGCAGGCCAGCATAACTTCCAGGGGGCTTAAAAGATTAGAAAGTAAGTCCAAACAGGCCTACACACATGCTACCTTCACAGTCCTACGTGAAGGACATCTCATCTCAGCTGAAGCAGATCTCCTGCAGATCTCCAGATCTGTGCAAAATCCCCTCACACTTCTGACAGGTAAATGAACCCCATTTATGACCTAGCATCTGAATTGAAGATGCTCTGGCTAAGCGCCTCTTGTGCGACTATGCTGCTTCTCACGGTACAAGCAAGTTCTGTATCTGGCCACTTAAAGGCAAACGAAGGGAATTCTTCAAAGTAGACAACTTCCCCCTGAAGGGGATCAGCTCATCACCATCAAGCCATGCATGGAAAGGGAAGGGTAATCAGAGCTCATGCTTGAGGACACAAGCTGACTGCTTGGGGGGTCAGGCAGGAGTTCTTTCCTCATCTTCAGAGAAGCATAACACTTAAATAAGTGCGTTAATCCAGGCAGGTGCAAGAGGGAAAAAGTTCCTTGATATCTGAAGCATCAGGTACTGGGCATTACCCCCTGCAGGATTCCAGACAGGACAGGACATTTTTCCAGTATAATATTGCAAACCCAATGGTCCAGATATCCATTTACATTAAGGTCTACTCTGATTTGGCTTTAAGGTGGGAGCATTCAGACCACTGCAGAGCATAGCTTATTGAAGCCACAGACCTTACACAAAGCACCAAGATTCAAAGCTTTGCATCCTAACTCCTACTTTCCTGCACAACCAAACCTAACCATGGCATGTACCACTCACCTGGCAATAGCAAAAACAAGTGAGGAAGGAAGGATGGCCCAGTGGTCACTATACTAGCTGAAGGCTTAGGAGGTCAGGATTTGATTCTTAGTCCTGCCACAGGCTTCTGCGTGAACTTGGTCAAGTCACTTCCTCTTTCTGTGCCTCAGTTCTCCATCTTCACCATCAGGATAACAGCACTGCCTGCACCTCACAGGGGTTGTGAGGGTATCTGTGTTAAAGGGTACGAGGCACTAAGGAGATGGGGGCTCTAAGCACCTTAGGTTGATAAGACTGGCAAGGGAGTGGGGTGAAAGGAAGAGGAAGGGGCAGACATTGCAATGGAGTCTAGAGCCCAGACAGCACAGGAAGGGCGAGTCAGATTGCTCCATGCCACCAGGCCTGGCAGTTACCTCAAGGCAGACGCTTCAGGAGGTGCACACCTCTGATCTCACTTTGTCCCAGTAATGTCTCAGAGCTATTCAGTCTCTCTGTGCCCCATGCAATTCACCCATCTAAGGATTTCATTTAGTCTTCACCTTTACAGGAGACCCATCTTCTCAACTGGGGCAGGCACAGTCCAAATACCCACCAGCTAAGGGCCAGGTTTGGTAACTCACCCAGAGCCTCCTTCAGCCTGCATACAACTGGGCTTAGCAGAGCTGTCCTCTTCTAGAGTAAGGATGGAGGTTAGGACACTGCAGGTCCCAAAAGGGAAATCTCCATGTCGATCCACTCAGGCTGGGACATGCTGGCTCCATGGGTGACCCATCCACGGCAGAAGCCAGTGGTGCTACAGGCCACAGGGCACAGCTCTGTGGGGAATGCTAGATCTCCTATTTGGTCACCCCTAAGGGAAGGGTATTGATTCCTAGTCATGGAGCTCTTTCGTAACAGGCAGAGGCAGTGTGGGGGCTCCAGGACTGCCTCCTTCCCACAACAGGTCTGGTGCAGTAGAATGACTTTGGGATCTGCTAAGGAGGACTGACAAGAAACAGAGCGGAGGGCATTTCCAAGCGCTGGCAGAAGGGGGTGGACAGGGATGCTATGGAGCCCATGCCTCCCTCAAATAGGTGAAAGCTGTAGCAGAAGGGCTACAAATCAAATTCTGGGTTTAACCCCTTGCTCATGGAGTATCTATAAACCAAGGCTTTCAGAAGGGAAATGGAGTAAATTCCCAAGCAGGACTACTACTTTGTAGGGCTGTGTGAATCTTTGGATGGTGATTCGATTCAGAGGAGATTCAGCCCAATTCAGTGGCTGAATCTCCGAATCAAATTGAATCAGGGGACTAATTAAAAGGTCCAAATCGATTCAAAGCTCTCCAAATCTTTGGAAAAGATTAGGAGAGCTTCGATGATTCGGGCAGTCCCCGGTGCCTGCAGGAGGGAGCTGCAGCCGGACTCAGAGCTGGTAAGTAGGGGAGGGGGTGTTGGAGGAGGGGACCATTGGGGGACCCCTCCCCCCGGCCCCCTGCCTGCTCCCCCCAGCCCACCCAACCCCCTTTCACTTCCCCAGCCCCACCTATCCCAGCTCCCGGCCCTTTAAAGAAAAGCCCCAGTGCTCACCAGGTGCTGCTAGGCGGAGGGGGGCGGGGCAATCCCTGCTGCCCCCCACTGCACGGGGGGCTCTGCATGAGCCCCCCAGCCCCCTCCCCCACTGTCCCAGCCTAAGCCCTTTAAAAAAAACCCAAAAACCGGAGAAAAGCCCTGGGACTCACCGCTCCTGCGGCAGCCTGGGGGCTTTGGGGGGGAGCCTGTGGAAGGGCTTCCCATGTGGTGCTAGGCAGCGGGGATCACCCCGCTCTGCAGGAGCGGTGAGTTTGGGGTTTCTCTTTTTTTTTTTTTCCTTAAAGGGCCAGAGCCTTTTTTTAACAAGTGCCGGGAGCGGGGGCGGGCAGGGGCAGCCATTGCCGGGCTGGAAGAGGCGCGGGGGATGGGCCTGGCCTGGCCGATTCGGAGATACGGCCGAATCAGTTGCCACCAAATCTCCGAATCAGATTCGGCCAAATCAATTCAGGACAGTGATTTGAGTCACCAAATCGAATCACTATCCCCTGAATTGGCCGAATCTGAAGCGAATTGCAGCTGCTTCGCACAGGCCTGCTACTTTGCTAACTGGAGGCAACAGGGACACTGCTTCAGGCCGCATATCATAGAAGGCAGGTCCCCCTGAGCCTGTATGTCAGAAGCATGGAGCGGTTGCACCTCCTGTTCCTTTGGCAAGAGCAGCAGGCCTCGATGCATGGGAAACCCTGCGAGGGGAGGCAAAACCTGGCTGGCTCCCTGAAGGATTAACTGGGCAAGTACAGAAGCTCTCAATTTAGATGGGATTTCAGTGAGGAAGGCCTCCCAAGAACAGACAGACCCCGATAACTGGGTGCAAGAACCACTGCTATGCACCTGTCCAACTCACCTTTGGGCTTCCAGTTTCACCAGTCTTTCTTCTGTGGGATGCTTCCAGCAGCACCACTTTCCCCCCTTATCTTCCCTTGCAGTTCAGGCTCTATTATGACTTTAAATTTTGTAGTGTCCAGTTTGTAGGGAGTGCCCCCTGCCCAGCCACCTGGCCAGGGTTTTAAATAATCTCACTGATTCACTGCAGCATCATGAGGTTTTGCTGAACTGGAGGCAGGACACGGCATTTCTGAGTTTTCTCTACAGCAGGGGTTGGATTCAGCTATGGGGCTTTGGCAGCAGGCACTTTCCCATGCCACTGTGGGGAGAAGCGCTGGCTGGGGGTGCTTTCTCCATGCTGCTGCAGGGAAAAACAGTGGCTGGGTGCTAGTGCCTGCCTTCAGTGTCTCAGAGCTGAACCAGGTCACTCCAGCCTGGGGACAACCTTTTCTGCCCCTGGGGAAGCCATGGAGAAGCTGCTTCAGTAGAGAGAAAAAGAGTAGAAACAGTTTATGCTTAGTGAGAGAGAGATGAGGAGGGAAGACAAGAGCTAGGACAGGAGCTTTTAATTAGCAGTGTCCACAATTTTGTTGCAGGGTGGAATTCAAGTGAAAAGGCTAAACACACACAGCAACCCCCAAAAACGCTGGGCATCCCACAAGCACACTAAACAAAGGATACAGCTTCATGTGGTTTAGAAGGTCAAATCCCATTGACTTCCAATAGGACGTGTGTTCCTAACTCACTTAGACCCCTGAATATCCTACCAAAAGAGGCAAACTCTACAGTGCTATGTAAACTGGTATAAGAG